TCTAGCAGGAATGTGCGTTTTTTGTTATTTTTTTATATGTTTATTTTGAAAGATATTTGTTACGACTCAGCCTGAGAACTCGGAATTAATAAAGCAGAAACTGTCGGTCGAACGGATGAAAACTTCATAATTGTTTCATTTCTTAATTAAAATGAAATCCAAAATACAAAAGAGCCATTTTATTTGTAAAATTAAAGTTTAAGCCAGTTTGTATAAATTTTTAAATTTTTACAACTGACATAATAAAAACTAAAATTTAGTACATATCAGTTTGCACTCTTCGGCATTTGTACATACTCTCTAGAGTCCATCTAGCCTAAAATTAGTTTTTCTAGAAAATGTTAGCAACAAAAGATTGATTTAAAATTTCTCAGTGAGCAAATATTTCTAAATCACAACAATTCTAATTTTTTAAATATTTTTATAAAGGTGTAGTAAAAAAACAGTTTCATTTATTTTCATTTATTTTTATTATATTTTTCATTATTGGGATTCTTCGTCTAAACATATATTTTAAAAAATAAATATATGTTTAATATTTTCCAACCCACCATAAATGTAGACAAATATTTTCATTTTCATTTTCGCGCATGGGGACATTTCATTCTTCTGCCAGTATCATTCACGGGGACTCTCATATGCATGCGCATATTATATTTTATTTTTTTCTTGCATTTAACTTTTTAAAAAAAAATTCAAACTTTAATATTTAAAAAAAATTAGAAATAGTAAAAATAATTGTAAATAAATAGAACTATTGTAAAATAAATACATATTTATCTATCTTTTTTTTTTAGTAAGCTATCCTTTTTTCTTAGGTTAAACTAATTCTTAGTTGCACTTATAATCACAATTTAAATATGTTTAACTTCTGTTCAGAGCTAATCTTTCCTATTAATTTTAGTTTTACTAATATTTTTTTCATAGTTCATTTATTTAAGTATATAAAGATATATACATATATGTATAGGAATACTAAAATTTTTTATTTAACCATATTTAACAAATAGATTATTTTCTATCATGTAACATTATTAAAATGTTTAATGTAGTCTAGCACTACTTAATTATGAACTTTGAACTTCAATTATTCAAATTGGGCTTCATACTTGGAATTCTTCCCCACTTGCTTTGGCCTTCTCGCTAATCACCTTAAATAATTCTTACACAATTTTAATTAATTGACATACAATATATATTTTTTTGAAATTTCATTTTTTTAAATTAAATTACCTAAAACCTTACCTTAAGCCCTTAATGCTTCCCGCCTCACCCTAAATATGCCAACCGAGCAAAATAAGGCTCGGTTCCACACACTATCCTCCTCCCCCTGCTTGGTTAGAGCTCAAGGAAAATCGCTTGTTCTTCCCTTCCCCTTAACTGGGATTTTCTGACAATGCATGAGGAATACTTTCACGTGCCGCTCGATCCTATATCCTCTCGATCGGTTAGGACATTGGAAACCTCGACTTAAGCTTACGAGCGCTTCTCGCCCGCAGGAAATGTTGTAGCTAGCTCTTGATGCTCTCAATCTCTCGCTCGTGGTGATCAGCAGAGCTGCTCAGTTGAAGGAACCGCTTGCCTTCTGTTTGCCTGCTGCTCGCGGTAACCAATAAAGCCATTCGATTTCTCCTTCTCCCTCTTTTTCTTCCTCTCAACTTTTTTTTTCTTCTTCTTCTAGACTCAGCCGGCTTTGGCTCCTTGCCTCAGCTTAGAATGCTTCTCTCCCTCTCCCATTGTCTCTCGCTCTATCCGTCTCGTGTGTGATGGGTTCAAATTAGATGGAAACGAGGGATAAACACTCACACGATAGGGGACTTTTTTAAACGACACTTGCATCCCATGTGTCGTAAATAGGTAAAGTGTTATTATTATTATTATTATTATTATTATTTTATTATTAAAAAGACATTATTACAATATTCTTCTTTTCATTATTTTTAAAATTTTTTTTCTTTTGTTTATATACAAACATATATATTTTATTGAAGTGTCAATTCAATAAAGATGTGTTGTTTGTTAATTCTCCCTCTTCCAACATACAAAAATGATGTTATAAAATTTTACCGAAGAATAATGGTAGATTCAACCCTGGCACATTAGCCAACTTTTTATTTTGAACTAGAAGGAAAGGTTTATTTGATTTTCTTACAAATCGGGCTGAGAAGCTAGCTCGAAGATTGTTAATCAATTGAAAATCGATTCGAATATGAGCTTGAATCAAGATCAGATCGAATAGAACAAGTCAAGTTGTGAGCCAAACATTTGGATTAGACTGCTTTCGATCCAATTTTGAGTCAGTATCGGATCAACTTGATCGATATTTTGATCGGATCGAAATTATATGAAGATAGAAACGAACGGTGGATATCAACACCTCGATTCCGTGGATACGTGATTATGTGAATAACACTTATGGGGCTAATGTCGTCAACCCTAAATCCTTTTCATTCTCACAGGCCATAGATGCTCCCATTGTTTTGTTTGCATTGTTGTCTATGTTGGGCCTTTGCTGTCTTCCCTTGTCGAAGTCCCTAACCTTATGTAAGGAACTAAATCACTACTTCGGTGTTCTAGCAGGCTACAAACTTTCAATGGTGTAGTTTTCTCATTTTCTAATCTCTATCTCTTCAACCTCACCTTCTCTTTTTGGTTTATTCATAACTTCCTTCTCTCAACCTTACATTTTTCATTTAAGATAGTTGTCGTCTGTTGCATCTCTAGCTCTCTAATTTGTCATGGTAAATGTTTATACGTTCTCTCGGTTTGGGATTGGCAAACGACAATAAGAAAAATTTGCATATAAGGGGTGCTTCATGTTTTGTGTCAAGAGAATTTCCTTAGCTCCGATTTTATTAGTTAGAAAATGAAAGGAATTTGGTTTGTTTTAATGTTTATATGTTCTCTCCGACCTCACCTCCTCTCAAGTTACCTTTTGTTTTTATCTCTGATGTGAAATATGCCATTGAAGGATTACTTTTATTTACATATTTAGATAATTATAATTTTGTTGTTGTTGATTGCTATTATTTAGAGGGCGCTCAATGTTCAATGTTCCTCCAAGTTTATAACCATGTTCTGTCGGTTGTTATTGCAATGGTGATTTTGCTGTGGTTGACAACCTCAATTTTTCTGATTTTTTTGTAGTTGATGGATGTTCTTTAGAGCTGTCATTAACTCATGGTTGTGTTTTCAAATTGAGCTCTATTTTCTTTAGAGTTGTCATCTGTCATGAATGTTTTTATTAACATTTTCTCTTTAGGGTTGAATGAAGGATTGTTGAATGTTCTTTAGGGTTGTCATGGACTCATTGTTGTGGTTGTCGGATTTGCTCGCTATGATGATCAGTTTTTTTTTTTTAAACAGAAAAAGAGAAGCTTATCTCACAGGTAAATTAAGATAGGGCCATGAAATTAGTAGATATTATGGTTCATGAGAAGATAAATTTTTTATGCAATCAAGAAACTATATGGGCTATAAAAAAGACTATGGAGAATGATATATTAGATTTTAAACTTTGATTTTTTAGGCAGGAGTCGTAGTAGAAATGTTGTATGTGTAATTATAGATAAGAGCTTGAAAGTTAAAGTTGTAAAAATTTATAGAATTGTAGTTTAATGAAAAGATAAAAAGTAAAGATTTAATTCAAGTGCACTGTATTAAAGATAAAAATCAAAAAGTGTTTTTCTTAGATGAGAACATTCAACATAGATGGGTGTTTTAAAAATATAACCGATTTTAGTGATCTTAATATTGTCAATAATAATAAATTTTTTTTTTTTATCATCACATTAGTAAAAAAACAAGTTGATGAGGTTTTAAAAAAATTAAGGTCGAAAAATAGTAGGACTTGATGGTATCCCAATAGAAGTGTGAAAATATCTAGGATATTTGAGAATTTTTTTGGATTACTAAACTTTTTAATATTATTTTAAAAAATAAAAATATATATGAGTGGAGGAAGAGTATTTTGGTCAAAATAAAGGGGATGCACAAGGGTGTAAAGTGTAAATGAATTAACTTAATGTGTCATACATTAAAATTATGGGAGAGAGTAATTGAACATATGTTAAGACGTGACAAATGTTTCTCAAAACTAGTTTGGATTTATGCAGAGGAAGTCTACTATGGAATCTATATATCTATTGAGAGTTTTGATGGAAAAGTACAAAAGGGAAGTTCTTTGGAGGGTCTTAGAAAAGAAAGACGTTAATATGACTTATATTTAAGTCATTTAATATTATATTAGAACTATTATTTGTGTTCAAATAGAAAGAAGATTGACCAAATATTTTCCTACTTCAGTTGGATTACATCAGGGATCAACTGTAAGCCCATTTTTTTGCTTTATTTATGGAAGCTCTTACTGGATATTTGTAGGAGATATATCTTGATATATGCTTGTCACTTATGATATCGTTCTTGTGGATAAAGCTAGAGAAAGGGTTCAGGAAAAAACTTGAATTATGGAGGTCAACTTGAGTATCTAAATGCCTTCATTTGAGTAGATCTAAACCTTAGTAAATGGAATGTAAATTTAGTAGTAGTTGATCTAGCAGCGGAGTTGTAAGCGAACATTTTAGATGTCTCGGGTTTATTGTTCAAAGTGATGGTGATATAGATGAGAATGTTTTTAGTAGAACTCAAGTTGAATGTTTTAAGTGGAGGAATGCTTCATGCCTTTTGTGTGATAGAAAAGTACCATTTAGACTTGAAAGGAAAATTCCATTTAGACTTGAAAGCATTTAGACTTGAAAGGAAAATTTCATGAGATTATGTGCAATGCTTTATGATGCATAATGTTGGCCTATAAAAGAGAAGCATAGAAGTACGGTAATTGTTGCTGAGATGAGAATTTGCTTAGATGGATGAGTGGTTTTGCATTTAGAGATAAAATGTGAAATGAATATATCTATGAAAGGATTGGTGCAGCTCTAGTGTTAGACAAGATTAGAGAGAGCCCTCTTAGATGGTTTGGTCACATTAAACATCAATCATCTGAGGATCCAGTTAGGAGAGTAAATGTTTTAGATTTGACTTACATTCCAAAAGGTAGAGGTATGCCTAAAAAGGCACGATCATTTTGTATAAAAACTTATCCTAATTTATTAGAATTAAATGAAAATATGCACTCAATAAGATACGATGGAGAAAAACGATTCATGTAGCCGACCCCACTTAATGGGATAAAGGCTTCTTGTTGAAGCTTCTCAATAATATTTATACAAATAAAGGGAAGTGAGATTAATTTAGTGTGAAGAATGAACTTCTTTTATTTTGAAGTAAAAGGTGGTTGGCTTATAGCATAAGGCTGCTGCTCATATCGATATGATGAAGTCAATAAGAATGGACTGTGGATTTTATTTTACCAAGTATGTGTGATATGAGGACTTAAATAGTAAATAGAATGAATGAGTCATGAAAAACGGTCAGCTCTTGTAGGATTATTTTTGGGTTTGTGAATGAGACATGAGAAACATTTTGGTCCATACTATAGGCATTTGGATTTACTATTGAGTGCGTGTCTAATGATTTCTGAATTAGGCATGTGATGTATGTGTCTTGAGATACACAAAAATGGAGTACTTTATGCTCTGTAAAGTAGAACGACATTGCAATGATAAGTCTCACTTCATGCACCGTAAATCAACCGCATTTTGGCTTGTGGCCGCTGTGGAAAGGTTAATACATTTGCATAAAGTAAGATTAGGCGTACACTCACTTCTTTTATTAGAGCGTGAACAATTACAGTGTTTAGATATTGAGTATTAGGCTGTTTGTTTTTTGCTCTTTTGTTCTCATACTGTCGTCTTGCTGATAATTAATAGGTGTTACACACTTCTTTTAATTTATGGAGAGGTTGATACATTTGCAAAAAGTAAGAATAGAAACTACACTTGCTTCTTTTATTTTAGCACGAGCAGCTACACTGTTCAGATATTGAGTATTAAGATGCTTATTTTTGCTCTCTTGTTTTTATATTATTGTCTTACTGATAATGAATGAGTGCCACACTTGCTTCTCATTTGGTGATATGGTTGGTTATTTTGTGCATTCAATTATATTTTTGGAGCAATGATGTAAGACAGCCACAGAGACTGAATTGGTTATCTTTAATTTTGGTGTATAAGTGTGTTGTGAAGATAAATGAGTGTTTTATGTTTTATGCTTTTTTGTTTTCTTTTTAGGGTGTCAATTGATCAATAAGATAATAATACATAGTTAAATCCATACTTTTAAGTCACACCAACTTGTCAGATAACTTTGGATGGAGTTGGCTGCATAGCCTTGGAAATTTTTGAGAGAATTTTTTAACCGCCTGACCATTTGTATAAATTGGAACCTTGTACTAGATTCTTTTGGGTGTTGTGTACTTGTGAGGCTTAGTAGTTATGTCATTGTGAGGTTAAATAGGCATTTTCTAATCTCTGTTTTCTTCTTTTCTATTTTCTGTTGTCTGTTTTATGCTTTTTGGGGTCTCTTACTGATAGTGTTAGCTAATTGTTTTTTTTTCTTTTTTAAATTATCCAGTTGGTTTTCTCTGTGGTTCTTTGGTTGTGGCTGATAGTGTTGACTAGTTGGTTTTCACGGCTTGGCTGGTTGGATTTTTCCGGGATTCTCATGTTGATAGTGTTGACTGGCTGGTTTGTTTGGTCTAGCTGTTTGGTTTTTGCTTTTTGACATTGCTGGTGGGTAGTGTTGACTCATTTGTTTATTTGGCTTGGCTCTTTGGTTTTTTTTTATGGTTGTTGTTTTATTTTCCTTCTCTGAAGATCATTCTGATGAAAATTATTTATTCAATAGTATTTTATGGAGGATAATATTGGTTTTTTCAATTTATGAAAGATTAATATAGTTTGCTCAGATATGTTTTTTTTGTGAGTATGGATATTACTAGTTTGGCCTTGCCAACTTTGTTCGAGTTTAAGAGCAGTGATGATAGCCAACAAAAAAACAATAGTTCAATCAATTAATAGGTGTTCGGTTTATTTGAAATCCACGTGGGTTTATTATTTTCAACTTGAATTTTGCTGATATATGTATTTTTTGAATTTTTGGTTGATACTCCTTATAGTTTAGATGTCTACTTCTTGGACTTGAACTTCTTAAGTTGAATTTGGAAGTGACTTGGACGGTGCCATCCATTGTGAAACTTGGTGTTTTATCTGAGCTCACGTTTTAGTTTTCATTTTTCTTTTATATCTTCCCTCATTTTTAGAAGCATTATATTTGTCTAGTTTTAATAAATGCAAGAATTCTTTATTTTTATTTCTTCTTTCACAAATTTGAGGTATGTCATATGCTCTAGTCCAGAATCCTGATATAAGCATTCTTTAATTTTATTTTTTCTGCAGATATTCTAACATTTTTAGGACTTATTTTTTTTTTCAAGTTTTACTTTTGTATAGTATTAAAGAAATTTGCTTTTGAAAACGAATTACATTATTTCAATATTTTAAGTTATGTGTAATTTAATTTTTGTATTTTATAGTTAGTAATTATAAATTTGTAATTTATAATTTGTACAAATGGTATTTGTTTGGCTTTGCAACTGTTTAGTCTCTTTTAACCAAAAAAAAGGGGGTTCTATTTCTTTTTTGGGTATTTTTTCTAAGCTCAATTCTTACGTTATATCACTTATATGTTATTTAATTTTTGTATTTTATAGTTATCAATTGCAAATTTGTAATTTGTTCGATTTTGAGCCAGCTCATTCTCCTTTTCAAGTCAGATCGAGTAGTGTTTCAAGCTGGAACGAGCATTTGTTCCAGCCGAATTGATCCTTTTTTGATCCGGATCGATCAGGCTCACAAACCAAAAAAATAGCATTCGAGCTTTCTTTTTTATAATTTGAACTATATTGAAAATCAAACAACTCGATCCAATTTTTGACTTCGATCCATAATATTTAATTTTGATCAGATTTCGAGATCAGGTCATTCACAACCCTACTTACAACCTTTGATCCTCTAGCAAAATTAGAACTCTCGACAACAGCACTTTTGTTTTTTTCTTAATCTTCCTTTGCCGTTCTCTTTATTTTTGATGGCATGAAGATATTGACATCTTTCTTTTAACTTGTTGTTTGGGCTTTATGTTATTTTGTATGCGCATTATTTTAATATATGCACTGAAGGATCTTTTCTATACAAGGACACGTTAGGCTTAGATTAGGAGAGTTTGGTTAGTTATTAATTTTTTTTTAACACTTCTGCCTCTCTTGCTCACACAACCAAATCTCTCTATCCCCTGTCAAAATTTATCCGATCCACCACTGTATGTTTGGTTCATTTCTGTCTCTCTGGTTTCCGTGGCTTGCCTCCTATCTATATCTCATGTTTCCTGGAAACATAATCTGAACACAAACAAGCTTTTCTTCCTGCACCAATAATGATGCTTTCGATCCTGCACCCAATTAAATTATTGGTTGACTAACTGATCAAATGTCTTTATGGTGAGTATTGACTGCACTTTTTAGTTATATGAACTTCTTGAGCATATTATACTGAATCTGATTCACACAATATTACAGCTTTTCTGTATAATATTTGTATAAGGTACTGGCTTTAGGATTTAATTTTAATGCATAATTTATATGAAAGCCAAATTCCTATCCATTTCTGTCTTATGTTTCTGTCTTATGTTAATAGTCTTTTTTTCATACAGAATCATGCTTAATGAATAAGGACCTGCTCCTCTGTTTGCCTTCTATTTTATTCCAACTCTATTGCTCTCAATCTAGGTATTTGGACAAATGGCCTTTGGGTTTTTTCTACGGGTCTCGATCAAAGGATTCGATGCTGGCAGATTGGACAGGGCGGAATGCTCATCGAACACTGTCATTTGATCATCAGTGTTCCTGAGCCAGAATCGCTTGATGTATTGACCATTGATAGGTGGGTGATTTCTAGCCAATATTCCGAACAGAGAAAACTGAAAAAATAGTCCCCCGATTTCTTACATGGGGTCATTTTAATCCTAGAGTCTATAAAAATGCTAGATTAGTCTTTCAACTTTTTAAATTGGGGTTGAATTTTAGTCCATATTAAAAAAAATTGAAGATTAAATTAGCACTTTTATAGACTCTAGGACTAAAATGATCTCTTGCAATGAGCCAGGAATTATTTCGCGAATTTTCTCATTCCGAATACTTCTCTATTTTTCTTCATTTTATTATTGATTCTAATGTATATCATTGGTTGTTGATATTTTTATCTGGATCAGAGGAAGGTACCAAATTGCTGTAGCTGGGAGAGGCTTACAGATCATTGATTTCTTCGCACCAAGTTCTGAATGAGAAATCCTGATTCTGCATTCTGCCGTGCTTAAATGAGTTTCTTCTAGAGTTGGTAATCGACCATGTGATTGTTTTTCTTTGGGAGTTGGGACCTGGTATTCCTTTGGTTCCTTCTCGTTAGTTATTTGAAATTATTTGTAATATATCCAAAGAATCATCATCTTTTGCGCCAGCCTTGTCTGTTGTTTCATTTAGATTATGCGTAATTTATATTTTTGTAATGAGCATGGTGATCTTTATTCGATATAACATTTTAAATTGTAGAAAATCAAATATAAATGAACTGTTTTTTTTTTTTGATTGATATGTTGCTTGATTAATTTATTTATTCCTTGTTTTTGTAAGTCTTCATTCAGAGAAAATAATAGAGAAGTATTGCTATTTACTTGCTATAGACATATAGTTATTACTTTGATCTCTAAATACAATTAAGGTCATACTTTTGCTTATTTTAGGCTTATATCTTTGGGTGATACTATTTTTAAAGTCATTTCTAAGCTTCTAGGTAGAGATATTGCAGAGAATATCATTTTTGCGAAGGACATCCTTTTTTCGCTTCAATTTGGTCTCTACTAAGAAAACTTTTGCACTAAAATTGACATAAAGAAGGCTTTTAATGGTGTAAATCAACAATTTGTTATTGATAGATTGTTTGAGATAAGGTTTCCTTCAAGATTCATTCATTGGATTACATGTTGAATATTAAATGTTCATTTTGCAATCATTGTGAATAATGAAATGAAGGGTTTCTCCCCTTCTACTTTTTTCAATTGTTAATATACTAATTTGTATACTTCTATTTTTTTTCAAATATATGAATTTTGGTTTAGAGAGTCAATTATGTGATTTTTGTGGTTCACCTCTCAAAGCATTACCTAGGAAATACTTAGGAGGGGTCATTAAAGCTTCAAAACTTCTTTCCTTTGGCTGTTCTGGGCTTTATGAGAGAATTCATAACTAGTTAAATGGTTGGACGCTTTTATATTTGTCTTTTGCTGGTTGGCTTCAATTTATAAGATTTTCTATATGGATCTATATTCATTATTGGTCAAGATCTACGTTGATACCTAGAAGCATAAGAATGAAAATTTCCTCTTAGTGTAATAAGTTTCTCCATAACAATGGGTAAAATTGGACTTTATTTATGATTGGTTGGGTTAATACTACAAAGGCTAGACATTGTGGTGCTCATGAACTGCGAAGTTTGGAATCATATATAAAAATTAATAAAAATAGATAAATAAATATTATTATTTAATTATTTAATTATTTCAAGCCAAAACAAGTCAAATATGAACGAACAAATATTTGTTCATGTTTTGCTCTATTATAAGTTTAGCTTAAAAAAATATTCGCGCTTGACTCCCTTGTTTAACAAACGAATCAAATATGAGATGTTCGTAAACAATGAGTTTTTTTTGACATCATTAATAGTAATTTAAGAGTTAAGTTTGTTTTAATTGATGGGTTTCATAGTCCATAAAGATCATCCAAAACAGTAATAGTAGCCAGGTCAAGCATATCCCCTAGTAGGGCTGTAGGCTTGACTCGTTCGAAATAGCTCGTGTTCGAAATCGGCTCGTGAACAGTGTGTTCGTGTTCGGCTCGAAATTGGCTTGTTAAACTTAAATTGAGAAAAAATAAATGTAAAGTGTGAGATTCGAACTTGGATCAAATATATACAAAATGCACTAACCACCACATTACCACATGAGGTGTTATGATTTAAATTTAGACATAAATATATATAATATATTATTATATAAATAATATATGTAATATGTTGTTATATAAATAGTTATACATATTTTTTTATTTCGAGCTAAAACGAGTCAAACACGAGCGAACAATGAGCTGTTCGTGTTCGGCTCGTTTATAATTCGAGCTTTAAAAATTTGTTCGTGTTCGACTTGTTTACTTAACGAACGAGCCGAACACGACGAGCCGAACACGAGCTGTTCGCGAACAACGAGCTTTTT